TCCAATGCGGGAAGGGGAGTATTCTCCATTGTTCCCCAGTAGAAGCTCCTGAACGCTTAGCGCTGGGAAATCTGACCCAAAGGCATTTTCTTACACCCCGGGGCCATTTCACCTTCGAGGGGCCTGATCCCGGTGGAAGGCGCTTGAGACCTCACTGGCCCTGGAGCAAGGGGTTTCCCCAACTTTAAATTCCCAGGTGACACCAGGAGCCCAGATGCCCCTGCCCTACAACATCCCCCCCACATCCCAGGCTTTCCTCACTAATTGTTTCCTTCTGGAAGGACCCCCAAGCTGGGCTGGCTTCACGCACAGCTTGGCATCTCCTGCCCGATTGCAGCAGCCTGGATCACAGCCACTCCCAGCACAGATTTTTTTGGAGGGAGGGGGGCCTGTCTCTTTAAGAATCCTCTTCCTGCCCCCCACCTACTCCCACCCCATACACACACTCCTTGCACAAGCCACAAGCTTGCACGTGCCCCCCACAGGGTTCTGAGCCAGCTGCCCCTCCTTCAGTGCAGCTCTTGAGGAGGGGACCGAGTCAGCTGACTCCGAGCTCACGGGGCTCGGGCTGTGGGGCTCAAAACTGCAGTGTAGACGCTCGGTTTCCCCTCCCAGGGTTTCAGAGCCCAGGCTCCTGCCAGACCCCGAATGTCTACGCTGCGGTATTATAGCCCTCAGCCCAAGCGCCATGAGCCCACATCAGCTGACCCAGGTGAGCCACAGCCTTTGAGTGCAGTGGAGACAGACGTACCCGTCAGTACCCGGGGTGGGATGCGTTGTATCACCCATGCTAACGTGCCGTGCTCCTCGGTCACCAGTGGCTGGATCACCTGGACAGGTTTATTCCTCGCGCGCTGATGCAGGCTTTCAGCTAACAGACGTGTAGTGCCACCAGTAGAATCTTACACCTTTTAGTTCCAGAACTCCTGGGTCCAACAACCACAGCCGACCCCACCAGCAGCAGCAGCACCTTTAGCGTGGCCGACAAAGCGAAGACACCAGGGCCCCCTCTCACGTGACCAGCAGTTGCCTCGTAGAAGGGGCTTTTCAAAGAGCAAAGATATACTGGGAACCTGTTAGCACAGCCACTTAAGAACGCCTCACCACCCACTCGCACATTTCAGCCACAGCTCACCAACCACTTTGCAAAGGAGATAAGCATCATTAGCCCCATTTTATAGAGGGGGAAACTGAGGCACGGAGAGGAGACATGATTTGCCCGAGGTCACCCACCAGGCCACTTACGGAGGCATGACTAGAAATCAGGTCTCCTAAACACCAGCCTAGTGCGCTATCCTCTAGGCCAATCGGCTTAGACCAGGGGTGGGCAAACTACGGCCCGGGGGCCACATCCGGCCCTTCAGACATTTTAATCCGGCCCTCGAGCATCTGCCGGGGAGCGGGGTCCAGGGCTTGCCCCGCTCCGGCACTCCAGTCGGGGAGCAGGGTCCGGGGCTTGCCCAGCTCCATGCGTACCGTGACTCCGCGCAGCTCCTGGAAGCAGTGGCATGTCCCCCCTCTGGCTCCTACACGTAGGGGCAGCCAAGGGGCTCTGCACGCTGCCCCCCCCGAGTGCCGTGCCCAGAGCTCCCATTGGCCGAGAACCACAGCCAATGAGATCTGCAGGGGCGGTGCCTGCGGACAGGGCAGCATGCAGAGTTGCCTGGCCATGCCTCCGTGTAGGAGCTGGAAAGGGAACATGCCGCTGCTTCTGCACCACCCGGAGCCTGCACCCCAACCCCCTGCCCCAGCCCTGATCCCCCTCCTGCCCTCCGAACCCCTTGGTCCCAGCCCAGAGCACCCTCCTGCAGCCCAACCCCTCATCCCCAGAGCCCGCCCCCCCAGCCGGAGCCCTCACCGTTCCCCCGCAACCCAACCCCCAATTTTGTGAGCATTCATGGCCCGCCATACAATTTCCATACCCAGATGTGGCCCTCGGCCCAAAACGTTTGCCCACCCCTGGCCTAGACCCTTCACTGCCAAGCAAACAGAGGGTCTGTCTACACAGCAACGAGACACCCGCGGCTGGCCCGTGCCAGCTGACTCGGGCTGTGGGGCTGTTTCACATCTGGGCTGGGGTTGGTGCGCGGGGCCCAAGACCCTGCGAGCTGGGAGGGTCCAAGAACTCAAGCTCCAGCGTGAGCCCTGCAAAGCGGAGTCGGTTTGCTCGGGCCAGCCACAGGTTGTTCTTCTCTGTGTAGACGTACCCAAAGGGACCGCCCCCAGCAGCCACCCCGGAGCTCTCCGCACAGCTCATGGGGAGCTAACAAGGCGTCCCCACCGGGGCCCTTCCACGAAGACCCGGCCAGCCCTGTTGTGGTTTCCATGTCATTTGCAAGAAAAAGCCGGGAAGGAGGAGGACGAGCCCAAAGCCCTCTCTGTGCAGCGCCAGCGCCTCGGCCGGGGCAGGCGAGATCGCCACGGGGGAGGCTCGTGCTGGTTGTGAAAGGTTAGTCATAACACAATCCACAGCAACTCTGCTGGGACACATGCGGGTTCCCAAACTGCATCCAACAACGAAGGCCCGAGCCGGTGCCAAGAGCTACAGCCCGTATCTCAACACACCCCAGCGAGCAGCCTGGGCCGCCCGAACATTGCACAGGTTTGGTGGTCAGAGAAAGACCAGAGCTTTCTGCAATCGACAGGGGGTGACCGTCACCAGCCGCCCCAGAGCTAAAGAGCACACAGGGGCTTTGGGGAAAGGTCAGAGGTGCAGGGCAGGGCTTAATTTGTAATAGAAGGGGGGCCGGGGTGCAAGGAATTTTTTTACATTCATAACTGATGCAACAAGCCCAGAGGTGCCGGGCTCTGAACTGCCAGGGCTGTGAACTGCCAGGCCCAGTGGTGCCGGGGCTCTGAACGGCCAGGCCCAGAGGTGCCAGGGCTCAGCCCTGGCACAAATTAAGCATGGATGGAGGGATAATAGCATGGAGCAGCAGTTCAAACAAGGGTCTGGGTGTCAGGCCTCCTAGGTTCTGCTCCTGGCTCTGTGAGGAAAGCATGGTGCAGTGAGCGGACGGCAGGAGGGCTGTGTTTTCTTCCCAACTTGGCTGCTGATGAGCTGTGTGACTCTTAGGCAAGCCCCCCATCCGTGCCTCAGTTTCCCCCATCTGTAAAATGGGGATGGCCATACTAAGGTGCCTTTGTAAAGCCCGGGGAGATCTGTGATTAGAAGGGCTGAGCCTTGTTAGCAATTTAGCCTGGTCTGACCACGTCTCTAATTTATCAGGAACCCTTTTTCAGCATGGGGGGCGGATTATAGATTATCGTTATCTAAAGGGGTTTTCACATTGGCTCTTGCTTGTTTGTTACAGGTGCTCTCCCTACCTGTCTCCCACGGCAGGGGGTCCCCGATCACACACACAGTCCCTACAATCCCCCTGTTACAGGAGAGGATGGGCGAGGGTCTGTGGCCTGTGATGGGCAGGAGGTCAGACTAGATGATCATGATGGTCCCTTCTGACCTTAAAGTCTCTGAGTCTATAACAACCAACAAGCAGGCAGGGTATTGTCTATGGTGGCAGGGGGCATGCGATGGGAGCAGCCCCCTCCCCCCCCGCCATCCCCTTGGAGCCCCTAAACTTTAGAGGGGAGGAGCAGTTGCGACCCCAGCTGAAACTTCACAGATATAACAAGGGGGCTAATGAGCCGTGCCAGGACCCCAGATCCCAGCACCCCCCTGAACGCTGGATCCAGACCAGGCCACCCAGTCACCCCCTCCCTGCAGCATCCCAAGTTTTTTTTTTTTACCACACCCCTTTCTGCAGAATTGAAGCACCAATTCGTTTTGCCTCACAACCCCCTCTAGGGAGCAGTGTCGTTAGATGGGGAAACTGAGGCACAGAGCCAAACGCTCCCGAAGTCACAGGCTGAGTCTGTCACGAGCCCATCCGAGAGTACGTCACTCCCTCGCAGGCTCAGCGTTTACTCACTTCCTCTGCAGATATGTGGGGCTGGCTGGAAAGTCCCATCTTCCTCCCCCCCCCCACCCCAGCGCTGGCGGGGTGCACAGGGGAGGGGGAGCCGGCTGGGGATCAGAGCTGAGGCTGGACAGACCCTCCCCGGGCGCTGGGCAGAGCACCCTGCACCCATGCGTGGCAGCAAACGGCCAGAAGGTATCACTGGGCTCTACCTCCCATGGGGGAGAATTGCGGTTTGAGTCCCAGCTGCTTCAGCTGGCATCCCAACGGGATGATCTGCAACAGGGCCAGTCCTAACCTGACTGTCTCCTGCTGCTCCCTAGTAGATCAGACAGGAGAGGGGGCTTGGTGTGAGAAGGGCACTGGCAAGGGAGGCTAAAGAACAGAACCAGGAAAAAGGAGGGGAAGAGAAGGAAAAAAACTCCCTGCCCCCATCAGACAGTTTAGTCCCCGCTACATTAGCCACCGGGGCCAATTCTCCACTCACTCCCCAGTGGTTTTTCAAGGGCTACTCCTGACTTACACCAGTTTGCCAGGAGAATCAGGCCCATTGCAGCTCCCAGTCACCCCTGAGGTTCGGTCTAATCCAGCGCCAGGCTCCCTTCGCTTCCACCGTGATCCTGATCTCCGTTTCGCCCGTGTAAATCCAGAGCCGATGTACTCAGCGGAGTTACTCCGCTATCTCTGGTGTAACTCCAGAGCAACACCGTGACTCCTGGTGTCAACCCAGAGCAATTCCGTCCAGGAGATTTACCCCCGGTCTCGGGTACACCCAGAGCAGCTCCACTGAGGCCAACCGAAGCAGCCGGGAGCGGAGTGACTCCGGATTTAGGCACGCGCGAGTGAGATCAGAAGGCGGCCCCGGAGGGTCACTTTCCTGCACCCCTCCGAGAGCCCGGGGATGGATGCTCTCCAAGGAGCCAGCGCTCCCTGCCCCACGGGGTGATGCCGGGTTCATGTCGAGCAGCTGCCTCGTCTCACCCTGAGTCATCTGCTATTCCTCCCCCCCCGGCCCGGGCTGGCCTCAGTGCTCAGGGATCCCGGGGGGAGAGGGGGGGGGCAGAGCTCCCACGGACTCACCCAAAGCTTTCAGCAGCTCCTCGAAGTTCTCCGAGTGCTTCATCTTCCAGTTCCCGGAGAAATTGGGCATCTCGAAGCGGGAGGGGGCAAAGCCGCCGGGTGGGGAAGAGAGAAATGCACCGAGCAACTCCTCGCTGGAGGTGGGGGGGGGATGATGGGAGGGGGCTGGTCACCTACTAACCTACTGGCCCCCCTGGTCTCCCCTAGCCTTAGAAAGGAGCTCGCGCCCCTTCCCCCCACCCCTGGCTGATTGATCCCCCCCCCTTCTTTCTCTGTCTCCTAATGAGGCTTCCCACACGCCTGGGCTCCGCTGCCTGCTCCCCTGCCCCACACAGGAGTCTCCTTTCTCCCTCTGCTCTCCAGCGCTTTCTCCCCCATCCCTTTATGTGTCATGTTACTGCTCAGCCTCCCTGTCTAGTCCCTCCCCCCCCGGCCTCTGGGAGGAGAGAAACATGTCTCCAGGCTCACCTGTCTGGGGGGGAGCTACTGATCCCCCCCCACACACACACACACACACCCCTTGCAAAAGGAAAATCAGGGTGGGTGTCGCTTTAAACCTTATTGGCAGAGCTCCCTGCCTGCCCAGTTAGGAAGCAATCCAGACTCACTCTGTCTACTCCATTTTCACAGCCCCACACTAATAATAAAGCCTGACTCTGGCCTGGGCCATGCGCCCCGTCCCACCCAGCCTGGGTCATCTCATCTCCTCTGGGCCCGCCGCTCCTTTCAGTAGTACGAGGCCATTTCCACCTAGATTCGGATCGTCTCCGCGGCACACGCCGCTGAGGGGGAAAGTCTGGATTGAAATCCGTGGAAAGATGGGGGCGACGCCGGCCCGGTGACTGGGCGCTCCTCTGGCAACGGTGGGATGGGAATGCATTTGCGTTCTCGCTGGTGTAAATCCGCAGTAACTCCACTGTCGTCGAGAGCTAGTCCAGATTTACACCGCTCTAATTGACAGCAGAATCTGGCCCTTAGGGAGCATACCGATTAGGACAGACCAGGGGGGCAGGATTAGATGCGTTAATGCCAATACCTAGCTCTTATCTAGCACTTCTCATCCATAGAGCTCAAAAGAATCATTTTATCAATAAGGAAACTGAGGCACAGGGAGGGGACTGGGAAGTGACATGCCCAAGGTCACCCAGCAGATCAGTGGCAGAGCTGGGACTAGACCGCAGGGGTCGTGACTCCCAGCAACACACGTTTCCTTCTTAACTCTCTGACTGCTCAGCTATTGAATTGGATCAAATCCTCGCCTGATCTTAGCGAGGATCTGAACCCAGAGAGGTTGTGACCAAGCCACATCGCAGCCCCCCCTCCCGAAGAACTGGGGGAGTGTTTGGACCCAAACCAAATCTCCTCCCCACCCACGCAAAAATCAGTATGGAAGCTGGACTCCAGTCGCAACGTCCAGCTCCAGGTTCCAAAACTCCCCAGCATCCCAGGGGGGTTGTGTCCCAGGAGTTTGGGCTCTGACAATTACAAAGATACAGGCTTGGATTCCAAATGCCATGACATGAGGATCTGGGGTTTGGTTCAGGCCCGTCACAACCAATACCCGAGTTCTAGCCCGGTCTAGCTGATACATACTGGCAGCTCTGGGGCAAAGCCATCTCTCCCCAGTGAAACCACTGGATGGCTTTAATGAAACCAGCATTCAGCTTCCTCTGGCAGAGGGGGAGGGCGGCTTTGTGGGCAGGCCCTTACCTGGCACTCAGCAGACTAGGGGTTCAATTCTCTGCTACTTGGGTGACCTTGGAGAAGTCACTTAAACTCTCTCTCTGTTCCCCAGCTGTAAATGGGACAATAATCTTCTGCCTCTAGAGACTTTAGACTCTCCGGGGCAGGCACTGATCTCTGCTGTAGGTACGTACAGCGCCTTGCACTGTGGGGGTCAGCTGGGGCCTGTAGGCACTACCTTCAAATATAAAGCAACGCCCTCCCCGGTAAAGGGACAGGCTACAATGGAATAAGCCCTTCCCAGCTCCAGTTACCGTGTTTCCAAGCCCGTGCTTGAGCGTCCACACCGCCTCGTAAACCCGGGCTTGCAATTGCTGGAGCCAGGTCTCATGGCAGTGCTAAGGCGTCCAGACTGCCCTGCGCACACCTGCGTCTGACTCGGGGCCGTGGCTTGAGCTGCGTCCACTCTGCACAATGACCGGGTTTAGACCAGACAGAAGCGGGGCTTCGGGGTCAGAGCCCTGGGCTGTGTAGACAGACCCTGAGAGGGGAGATGAGTTTTTCTTTAAGACCAGACTTGGGGTGGGAAAGGGGGGATGTTAGGACCTCTAGTGAAGCAATAGCTCCGCCTGGTGGCGGTGAACAGAATAGTCCTAGGGCAGAAGCATGTTGAGCAGGGCGGGGTGGAAACGGAGGAGCAAGGAGTGATGACTGGGGATGGCGGATTCTTAAAGGGACAGTGTCGAGATTACAGGGTCAGGGGGCTGCATATCTTGAAATAAACAAAAGATCCCTCTGCTGGATTGAGAGCAAGGCAGGTGGTGATGACATCCCCCAGAACAGATTCACGCACTCCACCTCTGAAGGAAACGTCTCTCTCGGCCTCAGTATTCCCATCTGGAAAAGGGGACCGAGAGGCTGCGAACTCTATGTGTCCGTGCCATGCCCGGCACAATGGGGCCCTGAGCTTAGCTGGCCGCCACTGCAAGATGAAATACGGCTTCCTCGCCTACCCCCAGCTGTATCTCATTAGTGGAGCATCTTTGAAACAGCAGGGCTTCTGAATCGAAACCAGCGTTTCTCAAATGCGGCCACTGTGGCCGCATGCGGCCACCCGGGGCTTTTCTTGCGGCCACAGCCTCCTGGGTGGTGATGGGGGGGGGAAGCAGCTGCCCCTCCCCCTGGGCCACCAGCAGTGGCAAGTCCCTGCCCCCTTCTGGAGCCACAAACACCACAGAAGCAAGGAACCTGTGTAGGTTCCCCACTTTCCCGGGGGCGGTGGGGCTTGGGCTTCGGGCTTCAGCCATGGGTGGTGGGCGGCAGGCTCTGGCCAAGTGGCAGCGGGCTCCATCCACAGGGCTTCAGGCTCCAGCCCCGGGCTCACCCCCCATTACCGCTGGCCCTCTCCGCCTCCCTACCCACCTCCCCCTCTAGGGCTTAATTTGTCCCCTAGCTTGCTGGGGCTGAGTAAATCTGCTGTGAAAAGTGATAATTAACAAATATACAAAGATCACTTTTCGCAGTAGCAGATTTACTAGCTAGCAAGGCTTAAAAAAAAATCAACCAAAAAAAAGAGCAAAACCTGTAAAACACCTTATTTGTGTTTCTGTTTAAATCCAGTACAGAATAGAGCCAACTGTACATTCTTCTTATTGTTGAGTCTGCAAAAAAAAAAATCTACTTAAATAAATCAGAATGATTTGGACATGTATATGCGCATATTTATTTGTTTTTCCTAAAGTTGATTAAGTATTTTAGGAAAAATTGTCAGAGGCTACCCAAAAATGTGTTGTGAGAACCCCTGCTCTAAACTAGGGCAGAGCTGACATGCCCGCCATTGGCTTTTTGTATGGCCCACGACCCCATGGCGCTAGGAGCTGTACAGACAGAACAAAAGACAGACTTTATACGTCCATCTTATACTCAGATTGGAAGCGCTCCGGGGCAGGGATCATTGTTTTGTTCCGTGTTTGTACAGCGCCTAGTGCCCTGGAGTCCAGGCCTGTGACTGGGGCTCATCGGTGCTATAAATAATAAGAAAGCAGTGACAGTAGGAGCAGGGAATCCACACAGTTAAGTTGATCAGAGGCTGATTTCCGAGCAGTCTCATTTGGCACAAAGGAAAACCCACCCACGAGCGGCGTGAAGGGCCCGTGGTGTGTAAATGGGAATCAGGTCCCAAGAATTCAGATTGTTTCTGAAATACAATGGAAGTAAGCAAAGGCAATTTCCTCCCTCTGGCGAGAGTATCCAATGTCTCTCAGGTGGTGAGATCATCCCCTCGGGTTATTCTCGCTTTTTCTCCAGTTCTTGTTCTCTCAGCAACAGCTTAATCTCCTGCCCCAGCCCCAGGCCACGGTTTAGGGGAAGCAGAGGGCATTTGCCGCCGGCTGGATCTCAGGTGTGTGAGGGGGATTCCGCATGTCAGCCTCCTTCTAAGCCGGCAGGGGTCTGGGGTTTTGGGCCATCTGCTTTTGGGGCAGCGCTTTGATGGGCTCTCGCGCCTCTGGCTGGAGCAGCTCAAAGGGGAAAATAGCACCGCTTTCAACATATTCCACCGCCCTTCCGCCACCCATGACAGCCAGGAGCAGTGGGGCCCAGTGGCTCACGCACGGGGCTGGGCATCAGCAGAGGTGAGACCTAATCCCACCGCTGCCCCTGCACTGCTGTGACCTTAGTTAGGTGCTGTCCCCTCCTACTCTTCTTAGGCAGGTCTCTTTGGGGAGCATCATCTATCGTCTCTGGCTTGTCGCTTTAGATTGTAAGCTCCTCCTGGCAGCGCCTGGCTCTGGTCCCAGCACAATGGGGCCCTGATCTCCGTGGGAACCACGAGGCGCTATGACATGCCAACTACAGGGGAAGTCATGGCCCCCGTGCCTCAGTTTCCCCCATCCACCCCCATACTCTGGGGCTAAAGATACTACTGCACAGACACATAAGGGGACAGTCCCTGCTCCAAGGAGTTTATAATGTAAGTAGACAAGACAAAGAGTAGGAGAAAGGAAGAAGTGTTCTCACTTTCCAGGGAGAAGTGAGGTACAGGAAGAGTAAGTGAGATGCCCAAGGCCACAGAAGGAGTCAGTGGCAGAGGACTTCACAGTTGTTGCCAGGCCACTCAGAACATCACGGCAGCAATGGGAAACAGAACTCAGATCCTTCCCCTACCCGCCCAGCCTCCTGCCACCTGAACAAGGGAGAATCCCCCTCAACCATTAGCAGTACTGGGCCCAGGACACACAGTTAGCCTGGTCTGGTTCCATCTAATAGGGGGCAGCAGCGATACACACCAGCTAACAGGTGACATTTTTGGAAGTAACCCCGATTGATTGTTCCAGGGTCAGAAGGTCAGCTTTTTTTTTTTGGTGAAAGGCATGGCATTCTCATTAAAGAATTTCTGGAGCCTGTCAGCTCTGCCATTGTCCCTTTAAAAAACGAGACTTTACTGTGCTGTGTAAAGTTTGCTTTGGCTCCGGGCCTGGGGTAAAGAACGAAGATTAACTGCTAATGCTGGATTAGAAACATGGAGAAATTAGGCCCCGCTCTAGTGATTAATTATTTGCTGGGGTTTCTCCGTATTTATTTAAACA